CTGAGGGTGTAGAGCTTTCAAAGAAAAAAGAGAATCCGAAGAGTTATTTACGCATTGCAAATTTCTTACAGGAAGGGGGAGCGCCCGGCGAAGCCGGGCGACAAAATAAGAAGGAGGAAAACTCGGCGTTAGCCGGGCGGCCCGACTGGTTTTATTTAAACGTTAACCAGTACAGTTGTGATAAAGGTAGTGAAGGGAAAAGTCATTTTCGTCGATCTATCCTGTTTTGGGGTGCCTTCCTGCATTGGGCTTCCATTCCGAACCTGAATGCTTGGTGACGTCAATTGAAATGAGATTGCTCACTGGGAAGTCCCGGAAGTAGCTGATTCAATGAACCGATGGAAAATCCAAGTCCAATGTGTTCCGATCCTTCAAAAGACACGCTGGAAAAAAGCAAAGTTAACGAAATTGCTGAAGGTGACAAACTCTCCTTCAACGGAGAAGACAAGAAAGGAAATGGTGTGGCTATTGCGATAGCGAAGTCAGTCAAAGACTCTGTCTCCGTCTGTCCGTAGGATCAGAGGTCAAAACATGGCTGTAAAGTGAGACACGAAAGATGAGTACTATACAATAGAATCCGTGTAAGCATCGCAAGCCAGCTGTCCCAAGCGCGGAAAGGATGAGTTCTACTTGAGCCTTGGCGAGGCCATCAGATCAGTACCGGAGGATCGATCCAGCAGCATTGGAACCATGCTGTGAAAGACATCCTACGGTGTGCAATAGAAACGCTGATGAGGACTAGAGGTGGTCGAAGTGACGAGGTAGTGTGGTCCTCGAGCGAAGAAGACGATAAAGTTCAGCGAGTTGTAAAGCTGAAAAAAAAAACGCTAGACAGAAAAAGGACGAGAGGAGACATTTGTAAAGGACGAGATTTTGCGAAGACTTGGCTACCTATGGAACCTGCACGAGGCTGTCAAGGCTGTTCTAGCAAAGGCAAAGAACACGGAACTGAACGCTCTACACGAAAAGCTCGATGGTCGAGAGAGAGAAGTTTGACGTTGGTTGGACAAGACACGGCACCGCGCTACTCAAGGCATCAAAGTAGTTAGAGTTGTAAACATCAGCAATGGCGCATTTCTGAACAACCTTGGCGAGGTCAGACGTGAAAAAAAGATTGCTTCGACAGTCTTTCGAACAAAAGTCCCATGGCAGAAGTAGCTTTCAAGTGTAAGCGACAGCTGGAATCCGTTGTACTCTCTGTAGGAGATAAGACCTTCCGCACAACAGGAGCAGTACTATCGACTCCACCCGCCATATATGATACCATATGAGTGGTAGTCTATTCAATACTAAGGCAGCAGGTACCGTTCTCACAGGATCAATTTGGCTTCATGCCCCAATGGTCTACAGCAGATGCCATATTGATATCTTGACGAGCAATGGCGAAGTCTCGATAAGCGTGGAACCTGCTACATTGCCTTCTCTAGTCTGGAGAAGATTTCCTACCGCGACCATTTCTCCGAGTAGCGCTCCCTGGACGATATATTATACCTTAACTACCTGACCAAAGACAGTCACGATGGGTTCAAAACGCCCTGACAAAGGCGGAACAGGTTACTGCTGCGCCTACTAGACGTCACCACAAAAGAGTTTGTGAATGGACCACTAAGGATCATCCCCTACGCTTCTGACATCGCTCTGACAGCGGATGGCAGTGGATGAGTTTGGGACAAGTTGCAGAAAGTTGCAGGAAATTGGAGAAAATATGACGGAGAATGTGCTCTGACTGAGTTCAAGGGAGGCGAATTTTTCAGCTTCGAGGAGTGCGCAGAGCCAATCGTAGACGATCTTGGAGGAGCCATCTGAAGGAGCTCAGAACTTCCGATACGTGGAGAGTAAGCCGGCCGCTAGTAGCAAAGTGGACCAGGCTGTAAAGGTTCTAATAAATGTGGAAAGGATGAAGGGAAGCAAACTCAGTGCATCTTCTGCGATCGGTAAAGCTCCAGGACGCGCAAAGGAAAGGTGCATCGATACGGGTGAGGCCCACGGTGCTCTATGAGAGCGGGTGCTGGGCCGAACAGAAAGTGAGTAGGCACGTACGGCGAAGATCACAGGATCACCCCATAAGACAAGCAATGAAATTCGAAACGGGATGGAAAAGACAAGTGGAGGCTCACAGAAAAGATGGAGGAGCGCAACCGAGAAGAAATTCCCCGAGATCAAATTAACGGCAAGAAATGCTGTGGATAAATGGAGTGGCAACAACTCACGAAAACAGCCAACCTTGCGACTGAGCGGGAACAAAACGGAGAAGAAGGGCTTCCAATGCGNATGCGTAACTCCATATGGCTATCGGATGTATAAGTCAGAGCATTCATCCTCTTGGACATTTCTGCTACTAATTTGAAGACTTCCAGAGGATCGAAGGCTCTGCTGGCATGTGTAAGACTCATTAAGTCATTGCCCAGCTCTTGCGTACATTAAGTTGCCACTTAGCAATGCAACTTGTCAGTCCACCTGTCATGCTACGATGAAGGCGATACTGCGATTGAAAGGTGCGATTCTCCAGCTTTGAGAAAGTTCAAATCAGGTTAATATCAATTTTTAATTGTTCTTTCTTTCTTTTTAATTGTTTCATTTCCATATCTCGATAGTCTTCTGAACTACAACTCGATACAATCCAGTGCAGCGGCCACCGCTCTGACTACCTAGGGATTCAGTATTGGAAACTCCATCTACAAATAATGTGCTTGCAGGTACCACGGCCGTCGATAATTCCTCCATACGGTCTGATGTGTGACATCGTTTGGTCGGATCCAGATTCACAGAAGGTTTTGATAGACGGAAACATTCGATTGTAGATGTGCTGCTGCTAATTGAAGGGGTTATTTTCAGCCTGGATGGTCGCTTTCATGTCGAGGAATATCGTTTTCATTTGACGAGTCAGTGGTGGAGGACTTTTGTCAGAAGCATGGCCTAGATCTTATTGTGCGCGCCCACCAGATAACTGGAGATGTAAAAGCGTATCACTCATATTTTAGATCTAGAACATCAATTAAGAGTTTGTGTACCCTTTTTAATGCTCACCTTCCACATGAAATTCAACCTTTTTTTAAATTGTTACTGGTTTCAGATGGTCAGAGGAGGTCATCGAATGTTCGCCGGTGGCAGATTGGTGACCATTTTCTCCGCGCCCAACTATCAGAATATGATGAATGATGGATGCGTTCTTCGAATCAAGAGAAATGTGAGTTTTCTTGTCATTTTCTTGCTCACCTGAGAATAATGAACACTATCTACAAGGGAATAGCACAGGAGGGATGAGAGAGCAAGCGGTGCTCCGGTAGTGTAAGGGTGGTCGGATAGCACGAGTAGGATCGAGTCCCGTCCTAGGCCGAAGTGTTGGCCATAACTCGCCAACCTTGTTAGATAGCTCGTCCAAATGCCTATCCTATGCAACTTTCGTTCATTCTCGTCCAACTCCTTATTTTACTCCCTTTTAAAGTCTAAAATTCCCTGAATACGCTTATTTTCGCGTTTTCTTTGCTTTTTTTGCACTCATGAACTATCACTTCAATTACTCGTCTGAAACTAGACAGCCTGAAATCATTCTGAACTGCTTGCAGAATTTCTTTATTTTGCCTCAAACAGATGCGTCTGGTCCCATACAAAGCTCCTTCCACCTCATGAGCCAAGCCTTCTTGATAGTTTGTCCCCATAGGAACATGATCTCCATCGCGATCTTTGCCTCGAAATCTCCTTTAAATGATTTTAAACACCTTCCTGGTGCAACACTAATAATGCTCTCATCATTCAGCTGCTCTTGAAATTACTCGTCACCCGAATCTATCCAGAACCTCTTTCTTGTCATTTCCTGTCCGGATAAAAGAACCGCCTTATAATTCTTTTTCATACAGCTTTTTTCTCACTTGCGCATTTTGTTATTCTCGTGTAAATCAATGCAGTAAAAGTCAAGCCTGTGAGTAGTTCTACTGTCTTCTAATGCAATGCGCCCACATTCTACGTTCCAATAAAGGTTTTGCTTTGCATGAAAAAACAAACTTTGCATCGGTGAGTGTTTCCACTCCGCCTTGCGTCTCTCTTTCAAATTTGAACGTTCCACATCCAGAGAAACTCAAATGTCTATTGGAACACACATGCTAAGCACCCATGCCGACACACGCTATGCACATCACACACGGTCATATGTAAACACATACAGGATGTTCCAAAATTATGGGCGCCAATTCGCGGCAATGTATTTGAAGCTTCTGATGCGAGTATGAGAATCGAATTTATATGCGCGTTCGCTGCCATTATGTGCTACAACGTGCTACAATCACATCACAAAATATGCCGATGAGCGCGGACCGTGGCTCAAAGTTGGTTTTATACCTCCTCGCGTGCTGCAAGCAGGCATCTTCCTCCAATTCTTTTTAGCTTTTCTTGAAACTTGCTTTCTAGTACTCCAAACTCGACGGGTTCTCTTCTAATCAGGGAATATACGGAGGAGTCAAGTGAGTTAAGATCTGGAAGGCAGAATGGCCATTCCTCTTCGCTACTGGAGTCGGGAAAGACTACAAGCTGTTTTAGGAAGCGATGTATTGTTCACCGCTTCATTACGTCCATCAGTATGCTCTTTGAGTTTACGTCTATGTTAGTTTTTATGATGGCTCCGTCGAAACCACGGGCGTCTTGTTTTGTCGCGAACGTTTTTCGGCCAGAAAACGATGAAGAGTTGCATGTTTCCATTCGAGCGAGTTAGTAACTTTTTGCATTTCTGGCTCTACACTGTCTGTTTAGAAATGAAGTGACAATTCTGCGCACGATGGAAACGGCAATAAAGCTTTCGCTTTACAACCCGCCCCACCAACAACGTCAACAAGTGCTCCTCCTTTGCCGTCTTTTTGTTGGGTCACCCTCGATAACGATCGACTCGAAAACAAATCTTTTAACAGTCCTATTTTTAGAAACACGTGCATTTCCACTACTTCGTGGTTTGTCTCTGATTGAAACTTCTTATCTTTATCGTTCAATAGACTTTTCTACGGATATTATAAAGACATCAGTTGAAACAAATTATGGGGAATGAAACTTCATAGTGCCTGACCGCCTCTCGTATACCAATGATTGGCAGTGGCATCGAATGAGCTTCTGTTATCTTGAAAATATTGAGATCTTCACATCAGAAACCATGCCTAGTGCGAGAAAACCTACTTGTGTGACTGACATTAGTGAATGAAGTGGTTTTGATTAAGTATTTTATCCTTATTAATTTCTGAATTTTGGTACCCATGATTTTGGGGCACCCTGTACATACCGGCACACATGCACACCCAGAATCCCACCTCGCGAATTGTACAGTGGAAGTATGAATTGACTGGAGGCAACTCTCCTCACAAGCGCGTTTTCATAAGTATCACCCTATTGTTGCAATCAAGTGAATAAAAATTGTAGAATTCAGGTGAACGAACATCTCCGAACTAACGTTCGAAATCGATTCAAACTTTTAACTATCTTTATGAGCCATCTGCGTCTTTCAGTCCTCTGTCAATTTCTTCATCTTCCGACCAGTCACAAGGCGGTTACCATTGCAGCGACGTCATCTCTCCCGACCTCTTTATGTGCGCTGCTTAAGTTAAATCACGGAAATAAAAATTCAATCAAATGTGTACCTCTGCCTCGACAGACAGTTGATCTGCTCATTCAGCCATGACACTTATAATACACATCATCTCACTCTCCGAGACCACTCGAAGTTTCTAAAAGTGTATGTATAGATAACAACGAGTCTCCATATGATGTCTCGATTGATCAAGTGATACAGTTGTTAGTTTATCCTAGCTAGCTTCGAGTAAGAGCTATCAGTTCTGAAAGTGAAGTGCCTGGTTCGGAAGCTTGTATCAATCTTCTAAGCATGATCTTTATAGACATCCTCTTGTACTGGAGGTTGTCATTTTAAAAACATGAAAACGCCGAACCAAAACGAGCCTCTGACCATCATATGGAACATGCAAAGACTAGAAATATTTTCCTGGTTTGTAGCGAAGGTGAGCCTAAGTACCTGGAATTGATTGTAGCCTCTGATACTTTGTTGTACAAGAATTCTCCTAAGTAGGCTGCCTTTTATATTTTGAGATTTGGGAACAGAAACAAATATCATTTATTGAAAATCGCTTTATTGCCTTTCAAAACTCTCCACATTAAGATCTATACACTTTTGCTTGGGCTCGAACCAATTTTCGAAGCACTTTTGCCACTCTGATTTAGGTAACTCTAAAACATGGATCCTGAACGCATCAACGGCTCCTTCAAGCGTCGAAAAACGTTGATCTCTCAATTTATTTTTCACGTACGGGATGAGAAGAAGTCACCCGGGGACTACATGGCTGATGCCCGGTCAACTCGTCGTTTTGAGTACTCAAAAATGCAGTCGTTTGAGCCGATGTGTGGGAGCTCGCATTGTCGTGGCGAAGAGTGATCTGTCTTCAGCAGTTGGTTTTCCTTATTTTTTGGATGTCAACTTGCAAACAAATAGTGGTATACCACTTAGAAATGACTGTTCTTCTTGCACTAGTGGTACGGTTGCGAAATGTCCAGTTTTTCCAAAAAAACTGGAGATCAATTGCTTGGAAGTGCGTGGGGCGCGGACAGCTTTTGTTGGATTTGCCTCATCTTGAAATACCCATACGGTCGACTGCTGTTTCCTTTCGGGCTCATACGCATAAAACCATGATCCATTACCTGTCTCGATGTCATAGACGTGTTTCGAAGCACCGCGATCGTACTTTTTGAGCATTTCCTCCAACCAATCGACACGAGTTCTTTTTNGGGGCGCGGACAGCTTTTGTTGGATTTGCCTCATCTTGAAATACCCATACGGTCGACTGCTGTTTCCTTTCGGGCTCATACGCATAAAACCATGATCCATTACCTGTCTCGATGTCATAGACGTGTTTCGAAGCACCGCGATCGTACTTTTTGAGCATTTCCTCCAACCAATCGACACGAGTGCTTTTTTCGGAGGATTGACAAATTTTTCAAAAACAATTTTTTTAACAGTCAAATGTTCATGCAATATTGAATGTATGCTAGTCCCACTAATGCCTAAGGTTGTCCCAATCTCACGATAGGTCACATGACGGTCTTGCAATATTGGTTTGTGCACAGTGTCAACGGTTTCCGGAACAATAACTGATTTTGGACGACCTCCACGAAATTCTTCTTCGAGTGAACTATGACCTCGGGTGAACTCACTGTACCATCGATAAACACTGGCCCTGGATGGAGCTTCATCACCAAAAATTGAACTAAGTTCACTCATGCATTGCTGTTGAGTTAGTCCTCGTCGAAAGTTGTAGAAAATAATCGCGCGAAAATGCTCACGATTCAACCCCATAACTTGGCTTAAACAAAATCTTATAACTTAGTGTAAACAACACAAATCGTGCTTAAATTTCGCAGCGTATCCTCAAAATAGTCAAACTTTACGATAGTGATGTCAGTTGCTAGATTGCTTCACTAGCGTTGTCAAATCTCAAAATATAAAAGGCAACCCTCGTATTCGAATAAGTAATTTAACAGTGAAATTGCTTTGCACCTCGTTGATTGCATGGTTATTTTTCTTCTCAAAAAGGTTGGATGCTGTGGTGTTGCACTCCACCAGATTTCCCACATATAGCTCGTAATAATGCTTGCTTACTGACCAACGATAAGACCTCAAAAATTTGAGGGTGGGCAAAAGGGCAATTTGACCCTACACCTGGCCTGCTCCAAAAAACCTAGTTTATTGTTTCGCGAAGACTTAAGTATTTACCAGACTCCCCCTCCCCCCTGAGAATGGAAGCCCACTAGCAGTGTGTATCGTGGAGGCGGAGTCCCGTATATATATATACCAGTCGGGCCGCCCGGCTAACGCCAGGCTTCCCTCCTTCTTATGGTTGTGGTTTTTTACAGGAAGCCTGTAAAAAAATTGCTATGCGTAAATAATTCTTCGGATACTCTTTTTTCTTTGAAAGCTCTACACCTTCACTATTAGCTCCAAATTGGGAGCGATTTTTTCTGTATTGTGATTAAAGTCGGTTCGCCCGGCTAACGTCGGGCTTCCCTCTTTGCTGACAAAGTTGTAGTAATCGGCTAGCTCTCCACCCCTTCTTCTAAACAAATAATATTTTCCTGTACATGAAGTTTGACACAGAACTAACAGGGTATTTGTATTCAGTGAAAGTCGATACCTGCGTCTTTAATTGGGAGTCTTAATCTTTTGCTCTCGTTCTTGAA